CTCTTTATCACTGTATCTCTGCCGTTTTGACCTTTTTTCATTTTTATCTTTCGTCTCAAGGATTTCTGGAATATCTTTCTCTGTAACTTTATTATGAACGTTTTTCTTTTTAATTAATATTTCTGGAATCACTTTCATTGTATCTTTAATCTGATCATAAATGGTATCCCTTTTATTCAATATTTCTGGAATCTCTGTAACTTTATGCTGATCATAAATGCTATCATTTGTCATCAACATTTCTGGAATCTCCAGATCTGTGATTCTATGTCTATCTCCAGTTCTATGTCTATCTCCAGTTGGATCAAATCTTCTCTCTTGTCTTTCCCTGCCAATATCTTTACTGTATTTGTTGTGTCTTGCAGCAGACATTCTGTCTGTACTTGTCTTCGAGACACCTAGTTCTGTTTTCACTGTCTCTGAGGATATATATGCTGTTTCATAAACATTTTCTGGCTTCCTGATCTTGTCCTCTTCATGGATTCCTTTACCATGTAGATCAATGTCTGTTCTCAAGTCCTTCCTGTCTGCTAAATGAGGAACAGAATCAAACCCCTCATCCAGGTCTGTAACAATCACAGTAGAACCCTTCTTAGAGGCTTGCTGAAGCTCATCAGGGTGAAAGATTTCTAAAGAATCTGTCCCTGGAAGGTTGGCATCTAGAGTAGTCTGACCACGAATGAGATCAGCCAGTGGTGGATGACTGCCCCTGATGACATGATGACTGCTGTCTGCAGATGGCCTTGACCCTGCTGGAGAAGTATCTGCCTGATGAAGTACAGCAACCTTTGCACTTTGAGTCATTTCTTCAACAGACTCAGATCTGTCATCTTTCTTTTCTTCAGGTTTCCATTTATCTTTCTTTTTAGTTGTTCTCTTCTCAGATTCTGTATGTTCTTTCTTGTTTCTCAGTTTAGAATCATGAATTCTATTATCTACTGTTTCAACTCTGATGTGACCTCCTTTGATCTCCTCATTTGGATGACTGACAATGATTGACTCCTGTCTTATCTTGGACAGGCTCTCTGTAGCACTGTCCACATTTGTCTTTTCTGTAGGTTTACGAACAGAAAGTTCCTGATCAACCCCTTTGCTTTCTTCCTTGCTGCCTGACTTCACTTGAAATGTTAAAGTAGGATCTGAGAAATTATCTCTGTTAACTGGTTTTCTAGAACTACCGCTATTATCATCATTTTTCTTATCTTCTGTTCTTTCTTTCCTTTCCTGGATTTGGTCACGTTCATGTGCCTTTTCTGCATTTCTGTTATCAGTAACCTCTATGGGATGGCCAGCCCTGTCTTGGAGATGATCATCAAGTTTCAATATCGGCTTTGAGTCAACACTAATATTGTCTAAACTTTCATCTAGCTGTCCGTCTCTTTTCCTTCTCCTCCTCCTTTCATCGTCACTTGCCACCCTGTCCACGTCTCTTCTTCCTTTCTCTCTGTGTTTGTCTTCTTTCTCTCCTGTAAACTTGGCTTCTCCCTCTTCCTCATAACCTTGTTTCTCTCTTCTCTCTCTTTCAGCACTTTTTCCTCTTTGTCTATCACTTGCCATTCTTTCCTCATTATCTCGTCTTTTCCTTCTTTCCTGGTAGCGATCTCTATCTACTTCTTCCTCTTTATCTCGCCGTCCTGTTCTTCTTTCCAACTCCTCGCTTCTTCCTCGATAAAGATCTCTATCTATTTCTTCCTCATCATCTCGTCTTCCTCTTCTTCTTTCCCGATCCCCGCTTCTTCTCCGATACCGATCTCTATCCATTTCTTCCTCATCGTGCCTGCCTCTTCTCTCTCGCTCTGCACTTCTTCCTCGATAACGATCTCTATCTATTTCTTCGTCAACATCTTGCCTTTCTTTTCTTCTTTCCCGCTCCCTGCTCCCTCCGCGATAGCGTTCTCTATCTATTTCTTCCTCTGCATCTTGCCTTCCTTTTCTTCTTTCTCGCTCCCTGCTCCCTCCCTGATATCGCTCTCTATCTATTTCTTCCTCTTCATCTCTCCGTCCTCTTCTTCTTTCCCGCTCTCCGCTCCTTCCCTGGTAGCTGCGACTATCCCTTTCTTCTTCCTCTTCATCCTGCCGTCTCCTCCTTTCCCGTTCCCAGCTCCTTCCCCGGTAGCGATCTCTGTTTCTTTCTTCTTCATCCTCTTCCTGCCATTCTCTTCTTCTTTCCCGTTCTCCACTCCTTCCCCGGTGTCGACTCTTTTTCACTTCCCTCTCAGATTGCCGTTCTGTTCTCTCTCTTTCTTCAGTATACTCCCTATGTCGATCTCTATTATTCTCATTTCGTCTGTTGCTTTTCTCTCTGTCCCTGTTACGATCCCTATCAACTCCCTCTTCCTCATCCCGTCTACCTCCTCGTCTCTCACTGTCCCCACTGTTTCTCCTGTATCGACCCCTGTCCCTCTTCTCATCTTCTTCTGACCTCCCTCTTCTCCTCTCTCTATCTCCACTGGTCTCCCTGTTCTGTCCACCACTCCTCCCACCCTGCCTGTGTGATCTACCTTTACCCTCCCCTCTCTTCACAAGACCTGTTTCATCACTTTCATTATCACTGTTCTCTTCAGCAGCTGTATCCTTGTCACCAGCTGGCTGCTGCACTACCTGTGTGGTTGCAGGACCCGAACCCACCTGGCCCACAGACTTACCTGCTGTAACTGGCAGCTTTTCACTCACGTCCACCAATTTCTCTACAATGACAAATTTTTCTGCCCCAACATCTCGCATCTTCTCAAACATTCTGCTTTTTCTGTCCTCAATTTTATCTTTCAATTCTTTAATCATCTTGTCAGAACTTTCTGTTTTCTTAGACATCCTTGAGATATGGTCAACACTGGAGTCATCTGGACCAAGTGCTGCTGTGTATGAACTGTCAGCATCGAATGTTTCAATACTGTCATTAGAGAGATCATATTTGTAACTTCCTTCTCTCAAGCCAGGCACGTACTCAGCCTCTTGTAGTTTTTCTAGATTTCTGCTGTTCTCTTTATCAGCTCCCATTTCATCATTTCTTCTGCTCCTATCATTTCTGCGGAGATATCCACTTTTCCTGATATTTGCTTGATTTCCCAAAGCGTCTTCCTGTGTCCCATATCTATTGTCTGTTGTGGACATTTGGTTATCTCTATCATTCTTGTTACTCCCGTATGCCCGGGTGTGGCTACTGTCCACATCTGTCTTCCCTTCATCACCAACGTAAGCACTGCTCACATATTTGATACCTGTTCGCATTTCATATATGATACGAGCTTCCTCATTTCTTTTGGCTCGTTTCTCCTCTCTAGCTTTCCGAAGTGCTTCTTCGCGTCTCAAAGAGTCCAGCTTGTTCTCATCTGGATCCATGTCCTGCTGGCCCTGCCTTCCAAAGCTCCTCTCTAACAGTATCTTATCCTCTCTGCGGGTCCCTTCACTTATAACACTGACATTTTCATCTACAGATACATCCAGATGCCCCCTTTGATTCTTTGACTTTGGTGTCCATCTTTGTTTTGAGGCTGTGCTCTCAAAATCGGAAACTTCCTGATTTCTACCCCTCCCAGGTGATCTGGATGCTGTAGTTGGTGTCTGGTGAAAAGTTTCGTGTCTTGGCTGCCCAATTTCAGATGATCTTTGAAGGTTTCTGGTATCTTGTCTAGGTGGTATGCCAGCCCTGGACACTGGGTACACCATTATTGCAGGTGGGGTGAAACAAATGTTTCTGAATATTGACATAAAACCAAGAGGCATCATCAAGTTGCAACTCTCAAAAGCACTCTCTGATGACCTAACAATGCCACCCTCTATGTTGTCTGACAGTAAGACATTGTCTATTGGGTCCTTCTTACATCTGTCAGCAAAACTCTGTGATTTTGGGGATGTTATGGTGTCCTTGAAACTGTCCAAAGATTTCAACTTGTGGTCAGCAAACGGCCAAGTGTTTAACAATGCAACTGGGCATTTTCCTTGTCCCTGCCCAGGTAACCTGAACAGAACATCTTCTGGCAGAATGATTTTTGACTGTGGTAAATATGCCAAATCTGGTTCTTCATCGAGGACCAACAGATTTTTGTACCTGGCAGAACCTGCTCTGGTCGTGAGGACAGTATCACGTAGATCGACCCCAGCAAAGCTTAATGTTGCTTTACCACCTCTGGTCAATCCTGCCATTTCTGGTACTCTCTTGAAGATTTTCAAGTTCACAGAAGCATCGACAGTTGGCGGAGAAAGAATTCTCGAGCCAGCCTGCAGAAACTGACTCTCTGACAGACGGATGTCAATGTCAGGTCTGGAATCTCTACATTTTTGATTGATGAGATCATCTGCTGGTTCCTGCGCACCTGGCAGCTGCTTAACAATAACTGGGAGCTGTGTTTTATTTGTCATATTTTTGGAATACTGAGGACAAGAATTCTCTGAGCCCTCACAACTATAACCTGCTGCAAAATTATGTTCACAACTATAACCTGCTGCAAAATTCTGTTCACAACTATAACCTGCTGCAAAATTCTGTTCACAACTATAACCTGCTACAAAATTATGTTCACAACTATAGCCAGCTGCAGAATGGTGTTCACAACTGCAGCTGCTTGACCAAGAACCTAAGACGGTCCAAAAGTCTTCATCTGGAACCCCTCTGCAGACCCCTACAGTAATCTCCCACTTGCCTCTCACAGTGAACCTAGTGCAAGTCAAATAGCAACCCCTAGTGGGCTCTCTGAGGTTCTCATACTTCTGGAAACGGAGACAAGAAACTCCTGGCTCAAGACATATATCTTCTACCACTGTCCTCGTACCCCAACCAAATGTATGATTTTTTCTGTTTAAAATGTTAGTGTATGATCTACCTGGGCAGTCTGAACATTTATCATCTGAATAATCTATACAAGAATCTATGGACCGAAATGGTTTGCAATGAGTGGTCATGTTTCTGTGGTGGGAAATGATCTGGCTACCAAGGGAAAGATAATCTAACAAATGGTGCTTGCGCAGAGGGCCAGCCCCGATCAGTATCTGCTGCCCCTTACCCTGGTGTGCAGCAGACAAAGCATCATGTATGACTGACTGCACCACTGTCTCAGCCAGTTGTGCCAACATCTTCTCTTCATGCACTGAGTAGCCTAGGGTCACAGTTGAAAACATCTTTACCATGACAGTCAACAGACAGCTGAAAACATCTTTACCATGACAGACAACAGACAGTTGAAAACATCATTACCATGACAGACAATAGACAGTTAAAAACATTTTCACCATGACAGTCAACAGACAGTTAAAAACATCTTCACCATGACAGTCAACAGACAGCTGAAAACATCTTCACCATGACAGTCAACAGACAGTTGAAAACATCATTACCATGACAGTCAACAGACAGTTGAAAACATCTTTACCATGACAGTCAACAGACAGTTGAAAACATCTTTACCATGACAGTCAACAGACAGTTGAAAACATCATTACCATGACAGTCAACAGACAGTTGAAAACATCTTTACCATGACAGTCAACAGACAGTTGAAAACATCTTTACCATGACAGTCAACAGACAGCTGAAAACATCTTTACCATGACAGTCAACAGACAGTTGTACCATGACAGTCAACAGACAGTTGTACCAAGACAGTCAACAGACAGTTGTACCATGACAGTCAACAGACAGTTGTACCATGACAGTCAACAGACAGTTGTACCAAGACAGTCAACAGACAGTTAAAAACATCTTTACCATGACAGTCCAAAAAATAATAAATATTAATTTGTTTCAGACACTCAAATGATCAACATTGCTAAATATTCACAATCTATTTTAGTCAAAATTATTAATTATTTGATTCAGACTCACAAACGGCCAACATGATTATATATTAATTGTTTGGTTTAGACATTTAGCCCCCATTATTAAATATTTACGATTTGATTCAAACACACAAATGCTCACCACATTAACTATTGATAATTTGATTCACTAACGGTCAATAATATTAAATTTTAAATATCCTTCAAACAGACACTCAACAATAAACTGTCTCCATGTTTCACTAACAGATTTATCTACAGCACTAATGTAAACAACTATCTAATGTAAATCTGTTATCGAACAGATATTTACAGAAAGATTACAGCTGCAAGAAATTAACTTATTATTAATTCAAAGCTGGTCCCATCCTAACAAAGTTTAGCTTCACATTTCAATTCCTCTGCTCTGACAACATTTCCTTATGCTATGAAAACTCCTCTAGTCCCCAGTATTCATATTCTAACACTGGTATCAATTTCTCCACCTCTGTCTACATTGCCACCTAAATAGCTGCATGATCCCATTTTTGAAAGTGAGACTGGGCTATCATGAGCATTATCATGCTATTAGTTATTCTTATCTTTTGTCGTGACTACCCATCACTAAAGCTGATTTTATCTTGTATTTAATTTTTGCATGTGGGACAAATGGACAGCATCATCAGTGAAGCCAGAGAAGTCCAGATGTTCAACCTGTTTTATCAGCACAATGTCATCAGTGAAGTCCAGATGTTCAACCTGTTTTATCAGGACAATGTCATCAGTGAAGTCCAGATGTTCAACCTGTTTTATCAGGACAATGTCATCAGTGAAGTCCAGATGTTCAACCTGTTTTATCAGGACAATGTCAGCAGTGAAGTCCAGATGTTCAGCCTGTTTTATCAGGACAGAGTCATCAGCGAAGTCCAGATGTTTAACATGTTTTATCAGGACAGTGTCATCAGCGAAGTCCAGATGTTCAATCCTGTTTTATCAGCACAGTGTCATCAGTGAAGTCCAAATGTTCAACCTGTTTTATCAGGACAGTGTCATCAGCGAAGTCCAGATGTTCAACCTGTTTTATCAGGGCAATGTCAGCAGTGAAGTCCAGATGTTCAACCTGTTTTATCAGGGCAATGTCAGCAGTGAAGTCCAGATGTTCAACCTGTTTTAACAGGACAATGTCATCAGTGAAGTCCAGATGTTCAACATGTTTTATCAGGACAATGTCATCAGTGAAGTCCAGATGTTCAACCTGTTTTATCAGGACAATGTCATCAGTGAAGTCCAGATGTTCAACCTGTTTTATCAGGACAATGTCAGCAGTGAAGTCCAGATGTTCAGCCTGTTTTATCAGGACAGAGTCATCAGCGAAGTCCAGATGTTTAACCTGTTTTATCAGGACAGTGTCATCAGCGAAGTCCAGATGTTCAACCTGTTTTATCAGCACAATGTCATCAGTGAAGTCCAGATGTTCAACCTGTTTTATCAGGACAGTGTCATCAGCGAAGTCCAGATGTTCAACCTGTTTTATCAGGACAATGTCAGCAGTGAAGTCCAGATGTTCAACCTGTTTTATCAGGACAATGTCAGCAGTGAAGTCCAGATGTTCAGCCTGTTTTATCAGGACAGTGTCATCAGCGAAGTCCAGATCAAGAACCTACTTCATTAGAGTCCACTGAATTCCATTTCTGGTGGCGGCCTTCACAATCTAGACTATATCCAGTAGAAGTAATAATGAGACACACAAGGTCTCCCTATCACACTCATATCCTTTTTCACAAAGACAACTATTAGTTTACGCTCTCTAACTCTATTCATGTCATGTTTCTAAATGCTTTCATTGTTTGCCAACTTGCAAATTATAAAGAGACTTGTTTATTATGATCTGATCTAAAACTGGTCTTTAATATATTTGAAAGATTAATTAAAATTCTTGTCAAGGCACTCAGATCACACCAAAATGTGCTCACTCACAAAAGAATTTTATATTAGAATTGATTTATCTACATTTATGAAAGTTTTCTAAATAGAGCTCTCAGACTTCTGAAAGCGGAAAATACAGAACACACAAATCAAGGTTGTCAGAAGGTATCTGTGTGCAAATAAAGGCCAGGGTTTGGGTTCAGAATCTACATAAAGCCTGAGAGTACAGAGCAGCAGCACAAGCTTCTAGAGCGTACAACGAAATGTAGCCGTGACTTGAATATTTCCATAACTTTAATCACAGCATTTTGTATAAAATACAAGTTAGAAATCTTACAAATGCTAAACCATCTTAACAATGCATGTATTATTTGCTGCAAATACATTAATAAATAGTGTAGGAATACTTCCTTTTGACAATGCTCAATAATTACTGATTTTTAAGATATTGAAAAAAAAAAAAAAAACATCTGACAATGCATTAAACATGGAGTCAACTCCCAGCAGAGCCCCTGGCAAAATCAAACAAAGTTTAGTTTCTCTAGAATGACTACTTAGTAGGCTGTTAGGGGAAGCAACCATGAGCTGAGACTTTTTTAGAAGTACTACACAGTATGTGGTCAGGGGCAGCAACCAAGCCCAAGTAACAGGACACCTACCTTGTGGCTGTCTGGGTCTAGAGGTGACCGGCGTGTCGCTGGTGTATTCCTGGCCTCTAGTATATCTCACTACAACATCAATATCCACAACAAAAAGAAGACAGTTACATGCAGGAACATCCAGCAAGGCCAACATTAACATGATGTCATGTCACACTAGTCAAGTATTTCAACAATCATCAGTACACTATACGGCTGCCAGAATTTGAACAATCTAAACAATTAAATTTAGACATGACAGGTTATTTATTTACTACATACACTAGCTAATACATGCTCTGGTTGAATGCCTTTCTTACTTTCATGTTTTTTTGTTTGTTTTACCACTATTCCTAACTTTGTGTTGTCTCCCCCACCACCCCCACTTTTTTAAACAGGTGTCTGTCTCTCAAACAAAAACAAGTATCTCTCACACATGGATACTGTCTCTCGTTCCTTCTCAGTCTTGAACATAAAATGACCTTGGCTCCCAGGTCGAGCCAGCCTTGAATGGGTACCAGATGCAGTCATGGGAAGTAAAGGCATCTGGCAGGATGCTTAGTACGTCACCCACAAAAAGCCAATTGGTCTATAAAATATATGTCTAGCCCAATATGGCTGAAGGCTTTATTAATATAGCAGCCAGCAGTTAATTGGAAAAGTTTAGTTTCTTAGCTTTTTCTTGAGTAAAACCGGACTTATACTTCACACATGACCAACCAACCACTGGTTCGATAAAAAAAGTTAATGCAGTAAACAGCAGTGTGGTTAACACATATGCAAACACAGTTACACCATCCATCCATACCATTTATGTTAATATAATATCTGTAATCCATGTGAATTACAGTCGCCAACTGTGAAACATCAGATTACAAATGAACATCAACATGTGCTGTACAAGCAGACAAAAAACAACAATGTCCTCAAGTATGTCAACTAGGGTCAAGGACACTTGAAGGGGTGCTCATGCGACTCACTGAAGCACACATGTGCACTAGAATACAAACAGGTCATACGCAGCAATTCAGAACATGCATCAGACGGTCAAGCCATTTGTAAAGTAATATTTCTGGAATATACAATCATTGTGGCAGATGAAACAAAATAACTACCAACTTTATTGATGAATAACCCTTCACTTATTCTGCTCTTTACTAAGCTACAAATGTGTTAGACATGTCACAGAAATAACATGACAGGACATGCTTTAACTACAACTACACACAACTGTATCAAATATGTCACAGTTCTGATACAATGACACCTTTGACTAGGCTACAATTGTTGAATGTATCATAGATAGATCAAGGATAACATGGCTTATCTGACCAGACTAGCTTCCAGTAGCAGCAAGTTACAGGTTTAAAACAGCACTTATTTTTAATTGGTTAATTTGAAAACAGAGATTTCCAGTAATAGCAAGTGACAGGTCTAAAATTGTTTTTCTTTTTTATTGGTTTATTTGTAAATAGAGATTTCTAGTAGTAGCAAGTGACAGGTCTAAAATTGTTTTTCTTTTTTATTGGTTTATTTGTAAATAGAGATTTCTAGTAGTAGCAAGTGACAGGTCTAAAATTGTTTTTCTTTTTTATTGGTTTATTTGTAAATAGAGATTTCTAGTAGTAGCACCTTTCAGTTACAGATGTTTTACAGAACACCTTTTTAAAATCTGGTTTATGTGTAAATAAGACAAGAAAGTGCTGAGTCCACTGTAAACATCAACTAAATAATTAACAAATTTGTTCTCTACTTCATTTTTTTACATTTAAATGACTGCTAACAGCAGGCACCTTTGATTTTAGTTGCAAATTTATTTTCATCTGATTCTATTTTCACAGAAAGAATCTTAGCATGCAGACTTTTCCAATCTAAAAGCACACACTGAAGACAAGAGACAGCTGCGTCAGACAGGGGACGAATGTACACACTGATCCTACCTTCTGGTTCTTGAATCTCTGGCTCAGGAGCCCTCTGTGTTCGGGGGGCTTCTTTGGGCACTTCTGCCACAGGAGGCTCAATCTCCTCTTCAATTGAGGCTATAAGATAACAGTGTAGTGGATTTCTCTTACCAGCAACAGTAACAAACTCAATCTCCTCTTCAACTGAGGCTATAAGATAACATATAGTGTACTAGATCTCTTTTACCAGCAACATTAACAAAACAACTCAATCATGGATTTCTATTTCCTAAAAGGCAAACATAGGCTACAGCGCACAGACAGCATATATTGATAGATTAGCTAAAGATAGAGAAATGGCAGCTAAGTGAGGAAATCATAAAATACTTTACAATACACTAACAAAAACAGCAACTTGGTACTTTCAAAATGCAGGGTGGTCCCACTAAAAGTAAGGATAGTACCATGCTTCCATCTGATACTCAATAAAACCAGAGATGGGCACTTCCAAGAGGCAGTATATCATGTTACCACATACAGTAAGGCAAGCAAAACAAGAAACACCACACCTGTTCATTGGTCTTAAGGTTTCTTTTGGGCAATTACCTACATTACTGCACAAATAGATGTACGACTCCACATTTTGGAGTAAGATATCATCAAGGGAAACCACATTATTATTTGTCCAAGTTTTTATTACTTCATCTTGATCTTTCCCTTATCGGTATTTAGAGAGTAGCTGTTGTGATCTCGCACCAAAGTACACATAATTTATTATGCATCTGATACTGTAAGTTGGAAAGAAGATAAATATCATCTGCGGAGTCTAGGTCAACAAGTTTTTTTTTTTTTTCTGTGTGTAGGGGCCCACTGAGTTCCATTCCTGGTGGTAACTGTTGCTGTTTTCATAATCCAGTCTACTGCCAGTAAAAATAGTACAGGCTACAAAAAACAACCCTGTCACACACACCTGTTTTCATTTCAAATGTACCTTTTTAAAATCTGTTAGTTTTGACTCATAAACTTTTACTAAGCTAATACTATTCTGTGGGATCCCATGGTGCTTCATCAATTTCTACAGAGATTGCCTATCAATGCTGTCAAAGGCCTTTTTTTATAGTCTACATATCCATTGTAAACTTGTGAATTAAATTTGATGCTTTGCTCCGTTATTATGCGTAGTGTGAATATCAGCTCAGTTCTGGATCCGTTTAGCTGAAAACCTGCCTGTTTATCCCTTAGCTTTTTATCATGGGCACCTTTCAGACTCCTAATAATCCTACCTAATATTTTCACAGGAACTGACAACATCTCATACGTATAAGTTTATCAAATATATTTGACTTACTCTCCAGCTCTCCTCGTTCTCTGCGTTGTACTTCAGCCTGGTAAGCATCAATCTCGGCCTCGGACATGTTCTCAAACGGATTGGCTGCATAGTACTGGCGATACACCACTGCATTGTGTTGATGGTCTCTCTGTATGATTCCCTTTGACGCAGCCCCAACCACAATTAACTGGTCACCAGCCGCATTCAGCTGGCCATCCTATCAACAAAGGGCAGTCAGGACAGTTTTATGCCTCAGTAATACAAACAGCAGTGTATAATTCATGGAACAGAAAGAACAGGAAGAAGCACTGATTAAACAAATGAGAATCAAAATCTGGAGAACAGGACAATTATAGACAAAAATGATCAAAACATTCCTCAGTCTGTCAAAGCCCTTCTAGCTTTAGCTGCAGAGGTTGTCACAAGGTCAGCTAGAATATAATCATCTTTGCATTCATCGGCTGTAAACTCCAACAGAAAGTTCTCATAGTTCACCCACTGTAGTCTTATTCCACAACATGAGTTTTGCATGCATATTTATTTTATTTATTTGACTTTTATAATAAACCTGTTAGAGGGCAATTTCGCCCCCCCCCCCCCCCCCCCCCCCAGATACAACCACAAAAATTATGATTAAAAAATTAACGACAATGTAAACATAAAAGCGTTACCTTTGCCCTTTGAGCTTCATCCCAGGTAAGACCTTCTAGAATTTTCGACTGGGGACCAGCAGTAATTCTCTCCTCATAGTAATCTTTCTTGATCTGTTTCAAGTAAATATCACAGCATTACAGTTCATGGACACATAAAATACATACTGACTCATTTTGTGTGTGTGTGACCAACTATTTATAGATGCATGTTTTTATGTATATGATATATAAGATTTTCTCTCTGGCAAAATCTGGACAGTCTCGTAAGATCAAAGAGCAAACTTTCTTCTCTATGCCAAGTAAAAAGTTGCAACAGGAGCCAAACATACAATTGTGGCTACCAAACAAAGACACAAATCATCAATGCCACGACAAACAGGACTTCACATTCAATGCTCACACTCTTCTGTTTCTCCTTGAACTCTTTAGGATTCTCTCCCTGCGGGGCAAACTGGTTGGGGTTTTCAATTTTCACAATTGCTCCGCCTGGTCTGTTGGGAGAATCTGTCTCAGGCACCCACTGAAATGACAAAGTTACAATCTTTGTACTCACACAAAGACACTATAACAGTATTTAAGTCCAAACTACACCCCGGTGTTATAGAATTTGAAACCTGTGCCCCATATTTGTTGAGTATGCATATTACTGTGTGGAATTGCACAAGTTTCTGGCAATCATTAAAAAAAAAACCAAGAGTCGCAGTAGCAAGCTTCCTTGCTTCACAGCTTAGTGGTCATCTTCACCCACATCAATGTGGCATTCAAATATTGAGCTCTGCTTCCTGAGTGAGCCAATCTTGAATGGTTAACGATCCAGGAAACAAAGGTGGCTGTACTAGCCATCGAGCATTGATAGTTCTATAAAAAATCTGAGGTCAGCACTGAAGAAGGTATACAGAACATTTGATGAAGTGAAGACAGAGAAGTCAGCATCAAGACTTGGAACAGCAGTGTTGGCAGCGATCAGCTGATTACATGAGACTAAAAGGGGGCAAGTAAACACTAAGATGACAGATTACATGACAAGGAAAGGGTTAACATTAGGATTTAAAGACATGGTTTTATAGATGATTGATGACATAAAAAGAGAATGAAGAGGTCATGAAAGAGAACTGACTGCTCAGATCAGAAAAAGACAACCAAAATTCTTTCGTAATCTTTTTCTTCTTGTTCACTGGCTGTAAACTCCGGCAGAAAGTTCTGGTTGTTTGTCCACCTCTGGACTTAAGACCTTGAGTGTTGCATGCACATCTATTTAACAGATCTGACTTAATTGTATGCACACAGTTGGTTCCTTGCCTCTCAGGCAGATGCACTGATTTCAAAGAAAGTCCCCAATTAGTGGGCCTATTCTTGTTTTCCCCACAATGGGGCCTTAGAACCCACACAGACATTTGTATAATGTCATGAAAAGGAGAAAATTGGAGTACATCAGGTGTAACTCTGGGCACAGCATAACAAACAGGTCCTTAATCCTTCAACAGCTCCACTGCCTCTTGCATGTTTACATCAAGGGTGTCTTTAATATCTGATGCTGTCACGTTGCACAAAAACTTTCTGTGGTCAAAATGTTGTAGTTTATAGTAGTGCTGTACCGAAGAGATTTTCACTATTCGGCCAATACGAATAGTGGGACCAACTATTCGGCCGTCATACGCATATGAATAGAGTATCATCATCATCAGGTGCCTTGCCGACTGGCGTGGGCAATTATGCCTTGCCACAATCAACAATCTCCTGCAGCATGTATCAGTTCGTGTGCTGACACACCTCCATGCCATGCAACAAGACTGTCAAGAATCTTCTATCGTTATCTTCCTCTATCCCTCCCCTTCCACAGATCTTTCCAGTGGTCACCACATGTCCCATTTTTCCTCTTCATAACATGGTCGAAAAATGACGACTGTCTCCTTATGTCTGTGATTAGTTGTCTTCGGGCTCCCGCCTCTTTCAAAACCATCGCTCGGTCGTTCGTTTGATGTAATTTAAACGCACCTTCATATTCTCGTTAGCAATATCTTTCATTTTGATTTCGGCGAAAACACCCTGAAAGAACGAAAGATGCATGATCTCTCCCTCTCTTTTTCACACACACACACATACACACACTGCAGTTGGCATTTTATGCAGTTTGATACACTTTGAGTGTGAAAAAAAAAAAAGGGGGGGGGGGGGGGGGGGGACTCTTTTCAACTGTTATGAGGACAGACAATATAAATTTTAACTTTTAAGTATCTTCATGCCTTCTTTAATAATGTCACAATTTATAGCCGACTTTTCTTATTTTTCGCCGCGGCACCTCTGGCATACGCACCCAGTTTGAGAACCTCTGCTGTAATGCCTCAGTCGAGTCAGCAGGCAAAAGTCCTGCCATCTGCTGTACCACGCAACTGGGTCGCAGCTTCCCCCACTATGACATTGTATGCAGAAACGGGTGTGAGGTAACCACTATTCATATTCGGCCCTACCGCAAGTATTTGGCCAAATACCGAATAGTTATTAGGTCCACTATTCAGCCCCAAAGCGAATACGAAGCGAATATTCGGTACAGCCCTAGTTTATAGGACAAGATACTGTTTCTGAGCCGGTTATCTTTATGTTAGCATCTTATAAAGTGAATGGTCATTTTTACTATAAGAATGTTCTAAAGAATGAAGTTCAATAGTTTCTAGTTTGTTTCTATCCGTGAAATAGTCCATAATTTATTCACTTCTATCGGTTGAACAGGAAGATGTATGTGTTCCAACTATTTACTTTTGTCTGCTGATGCGCAATCTGATTTCTTCCAACAATCCTCACTGCCATGGAGCTGAGATTAAAGTGAGATATCTCAGGAACCAATTCATGAAAACAGGACTCCATTGACCAACCTTGGTTATCTTCTTTGGTGTAGTTGTACCGATTTCATCAAGTTCTTTCTTCTTGTATGCATTGGGAGTTGTCAGCCAGCCTGCTTTGTATGCTTTCTTCTGTCTCTCCATTGCAGCTTTCACAGGAGACCTAGATGTGAACATTCAACAAACCAAACATTTAACTTTCACAGGAGACCAAGATGAAGACTTTCAACAAGCTAAACATTCAGCTTTTACAGGAGACCTAGTTAAAAACATTCAACAAACTAAACATTTAACTTTCACAGGAGACCCAGATGAGGACATTCAACAAGCTAAACATTCAGCTTTCCCAGGAGACCTAGATAAGGCATTCAACAAACTAAACATTTAACTTTCACAGGAGACCTAGATAAAGACATTCAACAAGCTAAACATTCAGCTTTCCCAGGAGACCTAGATAAGGCATTCAACAAACTAAACATTTAACTTTCACAGGAGACCTAGATAAAGACATTCAACAAACTAAACATTTAACTTTCACAGGAGACCTAGATAAGGACATTCAACAAGCTAAACATTCAGCTTTCACAGGAGACCTAGATGAGGACTTTCCACAATCTAAACATTCAGAATTCACAAGAGACCTAGATGAGGACATTTAACAAGCTAAACATTCAGCTTTCACAGGAGACCTAGATGAGGACTTTCCACAATCTAAACATTCAGAATTCACAAGAGACCTAGATGAGGACATTCAACAAGCTAAACATTCAGCTTTCACAAGAGACCTACTGGAGGACATACAAAAACTCTAATGCAAAAACATAAAAGGCAACTAAGCCTCATACATATTGGAAGCATCCATAATTTTTAAAAATACATAAAACTTCTGTAGTTAGAACTGCTGAATAGAAAAGAGCAAAAAAAAATAACATTCTAACTATGTTAGAAAGGGGACAATTTAAAAATTTTAATAATGACATGTTCATGGTTGTTCATCTACTCCTGGAGTTTGGGCCTGATCTAGTTTTGAGTTTGGCAGATGTTGGTTCCTTGAATCTTAGGCAGATGCACTCTGACTTTCAAGGAAACAGCCCCTAATTAGTTGCCTCCTATAACGTGCTTGTGAGAGAGGCAGTGTGTCTATTCTTTGTTCTCTACAATGGAGCCCCAGAAAACACACAGGGACATTCCTGTAGGCTAGACATAGTATTCATCAGGGAGCCCTGGTTGATTCAGTCTAGAAATGTTATGGGAAGTCAATCTGCTGGTGAGGTACAGACCACACCAATCTACCTGGAGCTCTCAGGTTGATTCAGTTCAGAAATTTTATGGGAAGTCAATCTGCTGGTGAGGTACAGTCCACACCAATCTACCTGGAGCTCTCAGGTTGATTCAGTTCAGAAATTTTATGGGAAGTCAATCTGCTGGTGAGGTACAGACCACACCAATCTACCTGGAGCTCTCAGGTTGATTCAGTTCAGAAATTTTATGGGAAGTCAATCTGCTGGTGAGGTACAGACCACACCAATCTACTGAGTGTCGCCGATCAATAAATAGTAATCTGAGGTTAGCACAATTTACTGAATACATCTACAGAGGTGGAATAGTATTACATTTTTCTTGCACCTACTGTACATCAGTGAACTGTTGTAGACTTTACATCACCATCCATGGGAACCATGCTGCAGCACAGAAACTAGAAGGGTGTGCAAGACTGGTAGTGAACTTCACAGCTGTGAAATGACATATTAGCGGCCACGTTATCAGGTCTTCTTCGGCACAGCACAAGGAGACTAGCATTTGGCCTAGGCTGGTACTCTTTCCTCTGCAGACTTGTCTTTCACTGTTAACAGACTGCTACCCTTACTTCACAGTGAGGCCCTTACACTTATATTTAAACTGCTTGGTTTCCTTGACTCGTATACATATACTTACAAATTTAGAGTGCTCATATATTACGTATACTTAAAACATATATCTAGTGTATGTATAGTACACATACTTATATATTTAGAGTGCTCATACAATACCAATACTTACGCATATTTAGAGTGCTCATAGTCCCCGTCAAAGATGTACGTGAAGGAGCTTGAAGCTGGCGGAATCTCAACCTCACTGTTTGACCTCTCTTTCTTCTCTTGTTTCACTATTGGCATTTTATATACATGCCCGGTTCTGAAACCCTGGGTCAGACACAAACAAGAACAAATCTCAGAAAAAGAAAGCAGAATCAGTTTTAGATCATTTCTGTAATAACTGATCTTCACAGAGAACATCTGTAATGGAGCAGGCACGGGAATGCCCCGAGTGCTGTTATGTCAATTCTTGACTCAACTCAGATGACGTGTGTCACTGCAGCATCATAGACAATGCCCCAATCTGTAAAACAAACTGAGGATCAGATTTACATTTAGCTAGTAATGTGTGAAGTCACATGAGTTCTAGGACAACTAATGACAATGACAATAATAGTTTGATCATCACTATAAATCACTTTTGCCATTAAGCGTCATGGGGAGTAATAATTTGTGAAGCAGTGCATGCTGGCTAGTACTGGCTACTGTCATGCTATAAAGGCATAAAGTATCTTTAATGTTGCCGATCAAAATGTTTGTGTGACCGTCCTCTTGTTCTTGTAGCTGATCTTCTGAGATATAGTGCCTGTGATGGTATACGATGCCGCTGCACTCTAACAAAATGGTAAATAACAGCTGATAGACAAGAATTAAAACTGTCGGAGCCAAATTTCACGCCTCAGATTCAAAATATGTGAATATAATCCTGTGGGCACAGGATATAAGTGACTCCTTGAGTATGAAAGTACATGAGGCAGGAGAACTGGTGAGAGACCGAGTTTCTTTCAGGCAGACTGTGATGAGAGCAACGTTCTGCAAAGTACCTGCTACATGATGAATCACTGATGTGACTACAAATGTAAAGTTATAATGTGACTGGCCACAAGAGCAGTTGAAACAACCCATTTAAACATACTCAAGTTTGGATTTCCAGCAAGAAAGGATGTTTGAGGGGATGGGCAGGGTATTTACAACCGATATAGGATTGCCGATTGAAAGAACCAACAATCTGCATACAGATAAGTCAGTAAAATGGATTTGCATGTAACACTCAGGTTCTGGAACAAGAGGTGGGCGAACAACAAGAACTTTCCGCTGGAGTAGGCATCTAGTGAATGCCAAGAAGAGGAAACTGGAACTACATGCTAGGTCATCACAGACTGTAGGTTATAGGAGTTTGATTCCAGTTTTTTTATTTCTCTATGCTTTATATTTAGAGAACATTGCCGGTACCCATTTAATGAGTCTGCTTCTTTTCAATTTGCAACTTCTGAGTGATTGCTAACGTACATACTACACTGACAGGTCATCCAAGTTTCCCTCACTTATCTGAGAAGACTACACATTGTATCCATTACACCAGGGTTAGGTGAGAATATCAAGATACATCAACATTTTTCCTATCCACAGTTTATCAGAGAGTGGTTTCCCCTCCCTTCTTGGTCTGCAAGACAGCAGAGGTGAAAGGTTATGTATGATGCCTTTCCCCAAAGGTGACTGCCAGAGAATTTTGAGGTGAAATAACTGATATAAGGGCATTTATTTAACGCATATAGGGGCTGAACTCTATATCTAAAGGCCACCTTGCCTTTCACTGCCTAACTGATGCATATAGTTAGTTAGTTAGTTATTCCTCTTGTGCCAAAGATGGCGCATAGGGCAGAGGTCATAGCTTTCCACGTCTGTCGGTTCTTTGCCACTTGATGTAGGTCTTGAGTGCGACTGAGACCTATGGTTGAGCTCTCCCTTGTGATGGTTCTACGGAGAGTTTCTTTTGGTCTTCCCTGTTTTCTTTTACCCTCTGGTGACCATAAGAAGGCTTGGTGGGGAAGTCTCTGTATGTCCATTCTGAGTACGTGACCGATGTAATTCCAGCGACGCTTTCTAATAAAATCAGACACATATTTTTGTTTTGTTTCCTGTCTTATAGATGTATTGGACCTAAAGTCCGACCAGTGAACATTCAATAGCTTTCGGAGGCATCTGATGCATATAGTATTAGGAATATATCATGTTAAAATGTAATGTCCATAGCAGTCAACACATTTCCTAGGCTAAATTGTGAAGATTTTAAACTTTTCTATTTGGTCACACATACAACTACATAACTATTTACAATTTCTTCTATTATGTCATATAACATAATTCTGTTCATAATTTCTTCCATTAGGACATACATAATAAGTCAGTTGCGTATCCCTTACAGGATGTTGCAGAACAAACCCAGTATTGTTTGGCTGTTGTGGTTTTCCTTGGTAAATTTATGTTCAGTAGTTTGCCGTTACTTTTTGAACGGTTGAATCTCTGAACTACTGTCGAAACCAATTCATGACGGTCAGGTCACACATACAACACAATTCTGTTGACAGTTTCTTCCATTAGGTAACACATAAAACACAATTCTGTTCACGCTTTCTTTTATTAGGTCACACATACAACAACATAATTCTGTTCATAATTTCTTCTATTAGGTCACGCATACAGCTACATAATTCAGCTCATAATTTCCCTTTCAACATGCCAAAGAAAAACTATAATTATAGCATAAAACTCAATCCAAACTTACTGAATTGTCTAGCGTTCGCATCAAAGCTTCAAACTCCAGCTCTCCTATTTTCCATTTCCGGCCAGTTGAATCCACACCACCGCCACCTTGATTGGCAACTTTGTGTGTTTGCTCCCTGGCTGCAGCACTTGGGATCACAATGTTGTCCAAACCTACAGGCATGGCCTTAACCTGTGAGAACACAATTATTTCATGCTAAAGTCAGGTGCACACACAATTCTTTCATACTGATCTCAGGTGTTCACAATCACTTTACACAAGTCTCACATTTTGAGATAATTATTAATATTGATGTCAAGTTTTCACATAAGCTATAGCTAAGCTAAAACTTTACGGGAGCGAAACGTTGAAAAAAGCGAAGGCAAGAATGTATGACACCGATACAAGTGGGAGTGCAACATTAAGAGATGGACAAACTGCGGTCTAAGAGAGTGTAGAACCAAGTTAAAAGACAGAAACAGAAAGTATAGGAGATCCACTGGTGTAGACTTCAACAACAAAGCAGCTCTTACCTGTGTCTCACATGCTGCCATCACGTTAAATGTGAAGTGGAAAGCTTCCTCAACAGTCTCACCACAAGCTAGCACACCACGATTGCGCAGAATCAGAATCTGTGAACAAGGGAAACAACACCATCAGTTCTTCACACAAAAGTTCAGTAATTTTGAAGTAATCTACTCGTTATAATTTATGTAGTGCATCTCAAGAAAGGCTCGGGCCGAAACAATGATTTGTGCACCTTGTTTCCCTTCTGTTAAGCATTTAGCCCCAGTTAATCGTATAAATTTCTCAGTAAAGCTGGAGCTAACAACAACAAAACAGAGTTCGTTGTGGGTTATAAATATTTCTTTTAATTCGCGTTCACCTCTGTAAACTCCAGCAGACAGTTCTGGTCGCTCATCCATTTCTAGAATGTGTTCTTGTTACAGAACTTGATGTCTGCACACACATCCATTTTACACATCTGGCTTATTTTATGCAGACTGTTAGTTCCTTGCCTCGCAGGCAGATGCATTCTAACTTCTAAGGAAACCCCTAATAAATTGCACTGCACAACATGCTTGTTTGGGGGGGGGGGGGCAGTGAGTCCCTGAAATGGGGCCACAGAACCCACAAGGGGAGGGTATAAATTGATACTGGGACCAATGTTGGGTCACCACAAATTGTCAGTTTTAGAAATATGATTTTAGGAGGTGTTTTATTTCTCAATGCTTTCCATTTCCAGGAAATTGCTGGCACTCATTATGGGAGTCATGTTTCTTATCCGCAATAATCCACACCATTGAACAGAACCAGGGTGGCATGAGCCAGATTGGAACATCCTATCCTCACAGCTACTTCAACCTTTTTGAATTACAACAATTATTTCTTCGCCTCTTATGAAATATACTGCAGACCAGTATGATAAACACAGTGGGTAATTGTGACATAATACCTGGTGCAAAATGAGTTTGTGCAATCAACAAGCATATTTTATTTTTATTTTTCAAATCAAAGACGTCAATAAAACTAAAAGCATAGTATAAAGCCAACAGTAGAATTTTTTAAAATGTGTATAAAGTAACTTTCATTCTTACTTTATTATGAACACCTAAATTTCTAGCCAGTCTCTCCCTCTCATCAGCATCAACTGCAACTCCATGGAAGTCATGGTAACTGACACTTCCACATATCAAGGCTTCCTGACTCATAGCCAGCAGCCCACACTTCAACGCAGACACCTGCAAAACAATCACAGAACCAAACATAAACAACAGGCTCACTGATTATGAAATTATATGGTATCAGTAGGTACTACATCTCTGCTGAATACTCATTAACAAAATATTCCTTGCGCCTCTTGAATGCTAAAGAAAATAGGTCATGAACTTGTGGTAATTCATGCCACTTTCAGGACTGTTTCACAACAGAAGGCAATTAGATATAGTATTCTAGGGGTCATATGTTTAAAGACATTTCCAGCAACAGTTTAATCATAAAATACACTATAATGGTTTTCGGGGTGCATCAGATGGTCAAATGAAGAACAGATCCGAGTCCGTTGATACATGTAGAAATGAAATATGGGACTGGTTGTTACCTCCCTAGTAAAACTGAGTTTTAACTGGACTCTGCGACACTGACAAGGCTGTTTGCCCCAGAAAGGGGCAAGCATCAATCAGAGTGAGCTTTAGGAAGAGACATGCCTCCTGACAGCTCTTAAATAAGTGATATATTTAGTGATATTAGTACAGGAACTGTGAGACTGAAGAAGAGACACTGCTAGTTTTTAATATAAGTGATTATATTGAGCAGTGACATTTCTCTGTAAAAGAATTAAGGAGCCCACTGGATGTGCAAGCAAGGCAGTCACAGATTTCAATTCCCACCAAAGTGAGATTTTTAAATTTACCTCGGCTGCCAGGCTTATGGCCTAAAGATGGTTAGTTAAAATAAAGGTAAAGGGCCCTTTCCCATGCCTTCAGGTGTATTGGGCATATAGGGTTAGACCTATATTTTATAGAACAATCGGCCTTGGTGGGTGATGTGGTCAGTATTATGTGGCCACCTTTATTTCCCAGGACTTTACCTTGTACATATTTAAGGCTGGGTGGAGCAGAGGAGCCAAGGTCTTTTTTTTTTAAAAAGGTCCAGCTGTCGGGACCTGAACCCATGACCTTCTGATCTACAGGCAAGTGTCTAGCCACTACACCACAGCAGGTCCCCCAAAGAAGAGTACCAGGAAAATGTTCTCTGAGCTAAACGCATGTAAACACACCATACCACCCATTCATCGGTCTATGAATAATATGGTACTAGCCTCATATGCCTTACAAAAGATATGAAAACTTGGCAGTGCAAAAGTGACTTCACAGCCAACCGGAAACCTTTATGTGACCGTTGGGCAAAGTACACTGATAAGGAGGGAGATTTTGTAGAAAAATGATGTGCAAAGTGAAACCCTAGCTTCAAGTAAATAAACAGTAGAATGAAAAGTGTAGATAATTTATGACTCGATCTCATAGTAAGTTACTGTTACTGATTACCTGGAGGCATACATAACCATACTGGACCTTCAAACACCAACAAATTTCTATAGGTTAACCCCTTTACTGATTTGAAAACAACAATAATAACAACATAAAAATAACACTGCTCCTCTTAAGTGTGAGGCAGTCGTCTTTAAACTGTCATTAATGGCATAGTGTTCTCTGCACTGTGATATCAAGTGCTTAATGCTATTGACATCCTTAACAATAATACTGACATGTCATTATGATCTGGTTACTGTAATTTCTGTCACACTTTTACAATTTTCATGTGAAGCCTTTACGAGCTTACCACTCTTGACATCCTTAACAATAACACTGGCAGGCTGAATAGCTTGGTTACTGTAATTTCCACCACACTTCTAAAGTTTTCATTCGAAGTCGCCTTGTGTAATACATTAGCCACGCTTTCACATGTGCAGTCAACTCCCCTAAAATAAAAAATGCCAGAAAGCTATTCAGTAATATACTCACAGCAACAGCAGATGGTGTGTGTAAATGAACTATGCACTTGATGTCAGGCCTGGCCTGGTGAATGGCTGAATGAACTGAGAATCCTGCCTTGTTGACACCCAGGTAGGTGGAGCCAGGTTCGACAATGTCTCCGTTGACATCAACTTTCACCAGAGACGAGGCTGTGATCTCCGAGTAGGTCAAACCGAAGGGGTTCAGCAAGAAATGCTCACTCTCTGGACTCACTCGTGCCTGGAAAACAGAAACAATCATCTTTAGATGTATGCGCATATAAGACCAGTCACTGAGTATAAAACTGTCGTGGTGGCTCAATATAGGTTAAAGGTAGAAGAAATCTTGTAGACTGCTACTGCGATTTCACTACAAAAGGAAATGCTTGGCTAGGCTTGGTTCTAACAATATCACTCCATGTGTCCAGTTGGTTTTGCAAAGCACAAGTTCAACACTACATCTATAAATATATAAAAGTTCCAGTAAGTTTCTTAGACTACTATTACAACAGTTTTTTCAAAATTAACTTGTCTTCAGGCTGCATAATTGTGATTTCTCACAGGTATGTTGCAAATACCTTGCACAGCCAAACAATAATTGTCTGGAAAAGACTGATGGAACTATCTATCTGCCCACTGGGTCTTCTCCTAAAGGCCATAAATGTCAACAGTTTTATCTTATGAAAATTCAACATCGCATTCTTTAATTATAAAGTATCAATACAGCTTAATATTAGTTGCATGCATTAGTCACTACCTACTAATAAACGTATAAATTACAGAAGCTAACCAAATATTCAAATACAGAACAATACAAATCCAACAACAATGATGACACTGTACTTACACTGATGTGGTTATGAATGCCATGGGACCAGCCACACAAGTCCACCAGGCGGTAGAGGGAAGCCACTTTACATCGCAGCAACTTCTCTCCCTTAGCAAAATTTAATGACTCCACTCCCCGTAAATCATTGATTGGAATGACTGAAGATGCTGTGGGAACCAAAAACCTTTTTAATATTTTGTACTTCTTTATCATGCTTCCTCTCATTCTCTTAAATAGTTTAGAGAAACTACTGTTTTGTTTATCCTTTTTCCTCTTCTGCTGTGTAGAGAAACTATTGTTTTCTACATCTCTTTTCTCTTCTGCTGTGTAGATAAACTATTGTTTTGTTCATATCTCTTTTCTCTTCTCCTGTGTAGAGAAACTATTGTTTTGTTCATCTCTTTTCTCTTCTGCTGTGTAGAGAAACTTGTTTTGTTCATCTCTTTTCTCTTCTGCTGTGTAGAGAAACTATTGTTTTGTTCATCTCTTTTTTCTTCTGCTGTGTAGAGAAACTATTGTTTTGTTCATCTCTTTTCTCTTCTGCTGTGTAGAGAAACTATTGTTTTGTTCATCTCTTTTCTCTTCAGCTGTGTAGAGAAACTATTGTTTTGTTCATCTCTTTTTTCTTCAGCTGTGTAGAGAAACTATTGTTTTGTTAATCTCTTTTTTCTTCAGCTGTGTAGAGAAACTATTGCTGTGTTTAGTATTTCCTCTTCTAACTCATGAGCTGGTGGCCAAAAGCCAGCATTACCAGCCCATCCATTATAGTTTGTGTGTTCTAATCTCAGCCAGCCTCCATTATGGGTTGTGTGTTCTAATCTCAGCCAGACTCATGGTTATGGAGAGAAAAAACACCTAGTTTTTATGCTAAAGGATAACTTTTCAGACAAGTGGCCTTTATTCTTCAATCAAGAAATACATTTACCAATCATAAGCCACTGAGGCACAGACACCATAGAGCAAACAATACACAAACATAAATGCCAAAACTTTTTATGCAAGTCAAATGTCTATTTCATTTCTGTAACTTTTTCCCTCTGTTAAACGTCTCATCCTTGTTTGGAAAGTATATTTTCATACCAAGCTAACAAAGCTGTGATAACAACATTAGGACAGCAAATGCAACAGTGGATTCACCAGTTCAGATTTGTCAAGAACAGACATTGCAGCACCTGGAGCATACTTCCCGTATATGTTTTGTCCTCATCTCCAGCATCCAACAAAGAGTTGCAATTCCGATGGTACCAGTAAAATTATCAACACGGGGAAATCTTATCAAAATATTTCCCTTCCACCAACATACAAACACATGCAGTAAACAAATAACATAAAAATAAACCATTAATAATTAAAGCATATGAATTAAAATTTTAAAAAAGGAAGAATCTAACAGAAAAAAACACCCATGTATTTGATTATCAAGGCATTTGAAGGATTAAGAATAACTGACACTGCACAGCACAAGAGGCATCAAAGGAGGGTTGGTATGAGACTGTCTGTCTCACCCCGGAGAAAACTTTAGCTGCCGAGCTCAACCAATCATGAACATGTCAAAGAGATACAAGAGCCTCTAGGCAACATGTGAGGGTGACAGGCAGAAAAAGCCAAGCAACAATAACATGTTCCCGGGAATGATTAAAGACGCTGTCCCAATCAGAAATGCAATTGAATAGCTTTGTTTACTTTCATTCTAATGATAATGCATTAACTATGAAATTGGTAATTACTCGTTCTATTCTTGATAATATCTGTAATTAAAACCTTGATATGTTTCATATTCCTAGTAAGTATCTTATTTTCTTGGCAATATTTCAACACCAACCCCACCTACGGAGGCGACAAGCATCTAAACTGTATATCTTCTTACTAAGACATAACTTGTACAGTGGTGCGTTCATTGTTCCTCACTACAAGATCATAGCCCACATGAGTTAAGACATATTAGCGAATCCTGTTAGTAATTATCTGTCCAATTTAGCTAAATTATAACATTTTTCTCAAATGCTCTAAGGATAGCTATGCTCCGAGCTGAGGTCCATAAATCTGACAATCTGTCACTGTTCCTAATTGAAAGCACAAACTATTAATACAGCATGCTTTGGCCTACCATCATTGTGTGGCTTATCAAGTGGCACAGGAATTTACACATCTTCAAAAGTTTCAGGCCTTGGTATTCTAAATCAGTTCTATTATTAATATTCCCCCATACCATTATCACGGATCGTCGAGAACCATTTTTTAAGTATGCAAATGCCTTTTCTACCATAGATCCGTCTAGCCATATTGCTATTTAAAGCCTCCACCCTCATCGCATGACTAAAGAAATGTCTCTCAAATAGCATTCAATCATGTTTTTGAAAAACAGGGGCCGCATTAGCGCAGTCGATAAGAGGCTCGCTTTCAAATCCAGCTGCAACTCGCTGCAGCCCACGGCCGGTGTTCGAAACCGAGCGGCTCCCGGGGTTCACCCAGTCTCTAGGAAATGGGTACCAGAGTTGGCACTCTGGGGTAAATGAAGGAACGTCGCTGTAGCTACAGAGTTACCTGCGAACGGCGACACAGGCGGACAATTCTTATCAGCTGTCCATACGGGTGGCAGGGCACTTATAGTTTATAACCGTGTGCAATGACGCTGGTTTACGTCTCCCAACTTTACCTTTTTTTTTTATTTAAAACGATTATTTGGAGCAATAAAATCTAAATTTTCAAAGAAACATGAAAACACAACAGAACTAAACAACTAACCTCTAGCTAAACTTCCAAGGCTACCCTTAGACTGGGGCAGCAGGAGGTCTGTGATTTGTTGTAAAGCAATCAGGCTGGCTGGGTAGGGGCCATTCCGCAGCTGCTCCTCCACAACCTGCTCCAGCTCATCTTTAAATGCTTGGCTGTTCAGTATGACTGACACACGCGACCTGTTTTCCATCTGCTGAAGGTCTTCCTTGACCTCCGCTGGTCGCTGCAGATTCTTAATGTATTGAGGATCATCTGGATCTGAGAAACAATACAGACATGTCAACAGAATCATTTTGTAAATAAATTACAGTGAAACAATACAGTCAACTCAATAGAATCATTCAGTGCCAATGCATCTTCAATGTCTTGTATCCATCTTCGCGGTGGTCGACCCCTGCCTAACCTTCCACAAACTGCACCTTCCATTACTGTCTTTTCCAAGCCACCATGACGCTTGATGTGGCCAAAATAACTTTCGGGACAGGATGCTATTGATGAGCCAGTTCTCCTGGATGTTCAACTGGTTCAGAATGTCCATGTTTTTTCTCTTCCTGATCCATGGTATTCTGAGAATTTTTCTATAGCATTTCAATACAAAAGCTCCAATCTGTTTCCTCAGTGACTGAGTGAGAGTCAGAGACTCACAACCGCAGGTTGCCACAGGAAAAATGCATGATCTCAAGATTTTTACTTTAACCAATTTACTGGTGCTTTGCCACAGGTTCTTCGTGCTATTTAATCTCTGCATTGCCAATGCAAGTCTTCTTCTGACTTCTTTTGAGCAGTCGCCACTGTTGTTCGCTAAAAAGCCCAAGTATTCAAAATCGGTTACATTTTCTATTTCTTCATTTTCGACTGCGATACGTGGTTGGTGTGACGAGATAAATTTTATTTATTTTATTTAGAAACAGATTCACTTATTCGCTGTGTTTTTTTACAGCCAGAATGAATTTTTCTAAAGATTGTACACTCTTGGAAAGGAGAACTGTGTCATCTGCATATTTGATTTCTGGGATAGGATTACCTCCAATTTTTAGTGGATTAAAGCTTGCACATGCCTCATCGCTAGTTGCGTTTCTCATAACATTTTCAGCAAATATGTTAAAGAGGGAGGGTGAAAGAATACAGCCCTGTCTCACTCCTTTCTGCACTTCAAACCATTCTGATGTTTCACCAGCTACTCTGACCGCTGCTTGTTGTTCATGGTTAAGAGATTCCATTAAGTGCACCAGATGATTTGGAAATCCTATGCCTCTCATTATATGCCATAGTTAATGGTGCTAACTATACTGTTTAAAAAATTAGCATACTAAAACATATGTATGGAAATTACCTAAATAAACAAAATAATTTACATTTTAAAAAATACAATGTAGAAAACCACAACAAGGCTGAGGTGAACACACAGAACAGTCCACTCTATGACAGGAGGATACAACTCTATATGTCTGACTCTACAGAAAGCCTGTGCAGTTCAACGTAGGAAAGATAATTATAGATATACTGATTCCAAATGAATAAACACAAGAAAGCACACTAAAAGTATACAACTGGAAACTAGTTTGGTAATACTACAACAGATCTACTCACCAATGCCATCGATGTATTTGCCGGTAGGGCTGGCGGGCCCGTTCACTCGAGGACCTGCCTCACTCATCCCTATCTAGTGCCGCTGGGCAGCCTAGACAAAGGAAACAAAACTGGTATCAATGATTTAAAAAAAAAAAAATTAAATGTGTTGTTTACTTCTCTTGCTGTCAATAATGTTCGTATTTTACTGAAGACAGTTTTAGCCATCCCTATTTTCTATGAGGAGATAAACAGTGAAAAGACATCTTGAAAGAACTAGCTCACACAAACAAAAAACTGGCTACCCACATCTGTAGCAAACAATCCACACGCTTTATAAATGCACAAGTATTTGTGACAACAAGAAATTGGGCAGGCAAAGAGAGGCTAGGGAGATGTTACACAATACAGCAGCATGGCTTGGAGAAACATAGATATCAGAAATGACTGGCAGAACTCAAGACAGAAGGTTGTGAAAAGGGCAATGTCAAAATGTAACAATCATTACTAAAACACTTTTATTAAAATAATACCGGAGGGAAAACAAGTCAAAGTAATGGTAGACAATGGCACAAATGGGAGGATAACATTAGGAGATAGGCAAAAGACAGTCTGAGAGAGAGTACAGCGAGTGCAAAAAAACAGATATCTTTGTGAGTGAAGGGACCTACCTATAATAGATATATCCTGTATCAATGGAGTTTCCATTAGAATTTGCAACTCATAAGCACTTACTAAAATGGAAGAGGTCTTATCAATTCTGACTAGTAGTGTACTGATAAACTTATTAATTATTTCAAATAGCCAGAGGTCATCCATAGTGTGGGCACTGATCTATCTTTATTATCACATAATCTTTCATTTTTGGATGTAACAATTCTGACTTTCCATTTGTATTAGCATCGACTATGCCATGTAATAATTCTTACGAGGTACTGTTCTATTAGTTGCATTGTATTACATCATATCATCACTGACGAAGGTTATGGGCAACAGTAAAACATGGTGCCCTTTAATTATCTAATAAACCATATGAAACCCTACATTGCTGTGAAAATGGTTTTTAAATTCAACCATAATTACCAATGTTGACCTTTCTGTTCTTGTTAACTGTGATCTTGTGTATTAATTTTTCTGGAAACTTACTTTACAACAAAATAGTTTTGTTTAAAATGTGTGAAAACTTTCCATGTGATTTTAAAGACAGAGAGTGGAGTGAAGTCAGTAGCAAGTTTAAAATGAAAGAATTTAGTACTTTTATACAAAAAGATTAGGGCTGGGAATTATATGACTCACTTCAGTTATAGTAAGCTTGCTAACAGTTCCAAAGTGGAAGTGACAAAACGCTATTTTGTTTGTCAGATGCGTGATAGACCTACTGTGACCCTGAAAACAAGGCCATACTGACCCTCATTGAGAAACAATTTTTCTGCATTCTTACATGAAAAATCACATCAAGACAATAATTTGGAGTCATTTCAGAGATGCCTATATAATATTGTACAGTAGTATTTGAGAAGTGCATATACTGTTATGTTTCACTCTCCCGATTCCAGCAATGTATGCTAAGGGATTTGTTAAGAAACAAAATAACTATTGCAATACAAATATTTAGTCATTTCATCCCTTTATTTTACTGGGCCGGAGCCTGGAATCCATGTTTTGTCAGATTTCACTATAACTTGTCTACGGTGGTATCCGCCACAATAATGTTAATATCTCTGCTTAGAACTGACTTACAAGCTTCAATGAGGTATTGGTGGATTGTAATTTTAATCTCTATCTAGCTGTGATAGTTTCATTCATAAGCAAAAACCCAATAAAACCTCACTAGCACATTCATCTAGTTATAGAAACAGAATTAATCAATTATTCTACTGGACCAATGTCATGTCACAGCAGTTTCAATATTAATATTATTAAACATTAATAATTAATAATTGTATTATACAATTCAAATCCAAAGTGAATTATAATTATATCCTGCATTTCAAGTATTTTTTTTAAATTCATTTTCTATGAATCTATGTTTGAGGCGACATAATACAAATGACACTGTACAATTGTACAGACAAGATGCTGCAATTCACACATTACTTCCTGAAAAACACAACTAGATACTAGAACATGATCTGAAACTTCAAATGACAACACTTACACAGGTCAATGAGTCAGTGAAACTTTTCATTCAAATGAATTGATTAACGAAAATGTGCTCGCCTATTTATTATTTATTCAGAGGGGAAAAAGGGTCTCAAGTCGCTGCTAACTAATCGGCAAGCAAACGTCCCTGAAAGACAATCGGAAAAGATAACAAGTGAATGCACCAACAGGTAAAACTTGTTTGCTGAGGTTAGCTTGTCCTCGACCACCGTCTCGGCATTTGGAAACAACTTGAGACAACATGGCGGCTTCCGTATTCGGATCGAGTATCATTTTCACAAACCACATATTTCCCCCAAAACTTGCAATAAACAAAATCAATGCATGTTGCAGACGCATGCAAATGAATTAGCACATATCACACAATTACTTCAAAATAAGCCTGGTGTAGCTGTCCGCCAGTAAATTATCAGTATTTGAGACGATCGTGCACGATTCCCGAGGCAGGTTGGTTGTGTAGCAGCCGACCTGGCTGCAGACGAATAAAATTACACAAGTAATTATCACGCTTCCACATGAATCAGCAACACGGCTGTTGCATCACAATACGTGAACAGACCAAAAAAGAGTCAGGTTTAGACATTTTGTGAAAGTATGTAAGTAATTATACCTGCAGACGAATCGAAAGCTCAGTTCTGTGGCTGTCTAGTGTCCGACCTAGATGGCTTCCTGCTTGACTTGTGCAGAAATACAACTGCTAGAACAGCCCGACCGGCGGCTGTTCGCTTCATTAACCGACCTCCCACTTACCTAGACTTGTACTGGCCGGCTGGCGACGGCGACCACCGAAAATTGTTTTGTGGAGTCTGGTTATAATTGGTTTGAAAGTGTATATCATGTTTATATATAATTTAGGCGATAACTTTAAAGGCGTTGATATATTTTGGTTAATAAATAAACTTTCCTGTTCTACTTTTTCTATAAATGAATTGTAATGAAATATAAGGTAGACAGCGATATGACTAGCAGGACATGACTAGGGAATAAGTATGCGAACAGCAGTCTGAAAAAATGTACAGCCAAGGCGAGATATACAACGTGTTGGAGATCGATTGTGAAAAATCTTTAATGTGGATACATCGACTGGTTTGATTGAATGATTGATTGGTGAACTATTGTAAAACCATAGAAACTTAAACACGACAGACTGGTCAGTTTTACCAAATGAAAGGTGTATTGCTTCTTCTTCTTCTTCTTCTTCTTTTCCATGGTCATCCATAATAGGGTGGTTGGCACATCGTGTTGTGGTTTACAACTAGGATGTGATATCTGCGCCTTTCAACTCAGCGTATCTAATTTCAATCACGTCCATCTTTAGACTATAGATATAGCTACAGATGGGCGTGTTTCAATAAACTCCTAATTAGTAGCCTTGTTTATGTAATGAAACTTTTTAAAATCACAGAAAATGATAGTGCCTAAATCTTTTATAAAAGTGAAAGGCCTTTTATTCAGGATAAATAGATACATTTAAGAACCTTAGGTCCCACGAGCAATCTTTACTGGCCTGCGAGGCTGGTGTAAAATTACTATATAATCCGGCTCTTGGGGTCACAAAATAGCAGAATTAAACACATAATCTAGTATTTTGAAAAAATCCAAATATTAGACTATTCCCCCCCCCCTCCTCCCCTTTTCCCCCCTCAGTAATTCTCCTCATAAAGGAATACATAGATAGGTTTTAGTGGGTACGTGTGCCTGGCCACGGGGGGGATTATAATCTTAGATTATCCCACAAAAAATGACATGTATCGAGAAAATCAGGCTGTTTATCGTGGATTTATTTTTCCACATAATTCGTGACCAGGTTGGTAATTCTCAATTTTTTGCCAGCGGAAAAAAAAAACAGCTGCCCACCCTTGACCTTGGCGCATGGATAACATCCGACGAAAAATGGATCACGAGATAAAGAACACAATGGGATGGGCTAAAACTGCTTATTATGAAATGAAGAACATTTTATGCAATAAATTATATCACTGGATGCTAGAAAAAGAGGTACAGTTCACGATCCTAAACCCCATCTCGTTCGGCTTAGTGATTTCGTATAGTTTCCTACGGGTTGTCCTGTTTTGTAGACGTTGAAGAGATGTCTTCCTTCGCTGTCTATACACAGCGTGCCAAGAAGAGACTCGGGTTCGTTCGAAGAGGTCGACACGCTGTCTACTAGATAAAACTTCACAGCTTTCTTTTCGCAACTTTTTCTTCTGTAAACAAGAGTTGTTTCTGGAATGTGTTGTGATTAGGTTTCAGGCGCCGCATGCGACTATGTGCAAGGAAGAAGTGCTGCAGGTGGAAACCGAAAGCGCGACGATTCGTCAGTATCGAATCATTGATGTGTTTGTATTTTTTACGCTCGTTGGCGGTAGCTGTCGACAGCGGTTGATCTTCCTAAAACGTTCAAAACAAGCAAGACATAACACGTCTTTAACCTAGGACATCACGTGGAAACTGATACGAATTCAAGCAGCCAAACGAGATGGTGGGAGAATCGTGAGTTGTACCGAAAAGAATTGCCGCCCTCTATATAAAGCCAGTTTTAACATGTGGTTTTACTCATGGCTTCTGGATACTAAAACAAAACAAAACAAAAACATGTGGTTTTAAATTTAGGAATATTTTTTAGAAAGCTGAACAATTTCATGAAGCCTCTGAGATGTGGTTTTACAGAAGATCCTTACAATTCCTTGGAGGGCTCGAAGACAGCATATCACAACATCAGAAAGAGGAAGTCATCATTGTTTTGTCATGTTGTGAGAAAAAGAAAACTGGAACATGGGAAGAGCTGCAAAAAAAAAAAAAAAAAAAGAGAGAGACAAGGAAAACCACGGGAGACGATCCTTGACAACCTTTTGTCATGCTATGAAGGAGTGTCAACACATGGATTGATGCATGCTGTAGATGTAGAAAATGGCAAGTTGTGGA